AAGTATATAACACTGTCTCAGTAACTATAGCGCCATGCTGTGTACATTGCCACTGTTCTCCTCTCTGTTTCTATGAGCTTGATTATTCTAGATATCTCATATAAGTGGAATCATACAGTATTTGTCTTTTTGTAAATGGCTTATTTCACTTAGCATAACGTCTTGGAGGTTTATCTATTGTGTAGCATGTGTCAGAATGACCTTTCAAGGCTGGAAATATTTCATTATATGTATGTACCACATATACACATATACCACATTTTATTTGTCCATTCATCTGTAGATGGACATTTTGGTTGCTTCCATCTTTTGGTTATTGTAAATAATGTTGCTGTAAACACAGGTGTACAGATATCTCTTTGAGATGCTGCTTTCAATTCTTTTGGCTATATACCCAAAATATACTGGATCTTTTGGATCCAGTAAAATTTCTGGATTATAAGGTAATTCTAGTTTTAATATTAGCGCAACCTCCAAGCTGTTTTCCGTAGAGGTTGCACCATTTTACGCTTCCACCAACAGTGCAAAGGGTTCCAGTTTCCCCACATCCTTGTCAACATTTGTTCTTTTCCATTTTTCTTATAGTGACCATCCTAATGCATGGGAGGCGATGTCTCACTGTGACTTTGATTTGCATTTCCCTGCTGATTAGTGATGTTGGGCACGTTTTCATATGCTCGTTGGCAAGTGATGCTCTTATGATAAAAAATGTGTACCATGTACTTCATGGTCAAAATAAATAAATTATTCCATGCATTTTCCGAACCAGGAAACTTCTTGGAAGGCATGTCTAAATGGTTTGATAATAAAATAGTCCACTCATTCCCTGAAAACTGCCCTTTACCACATATCGACTCGTTTCTGGCTCTGTGCGCTGATTTCAGTAGGTGGCCCAGGGTGGCCCAGGGTGGCCCTTACCTGGCTGAGTGGGGTGGCCCTGCGTGACAGGCATGGGGCCCTCTGATCACAGAGACGGCTTGGCACCTTCAGGGAGTGTTTTCAGTCTCCACCTCTGGGCGATGACTACTTTGATAAGAAAGGAAACAATTTGTGATTTACCTACCCTCTGGTATGTTCCAGCTATGTTTTAGTGTCCTTTGGGTAGGGTGGCCCCCAGGTAGCAGCTGGCCCTTTAATTTGGCTGTTTGTATAGCTGACATTCAGATTCACTGGGAGAGCATCTGAATGGGTCAGTGAATCGCTTGTCCCTGGGAGAGAGCAATTATACCATTTCTCATGTGCCCCCAGGAAGCCTATGGACCCTTTGTTCAGACTCCAGGGCCTGGATCAATTTGAAGCCCCTCTGAGGACAGCTGCGAGGGGGCCAGGGCTGCAAGCATCCTCCTCTTGCAAGGCAGGCGGTGCCCCTTTACATGAGAGTCTCCTTGACAAGGACAGAGGTGGGAGGCTATGAACATTCATAGGGAACACTACTGCCCCCTGTGTAACTGCAAATGTTGGCATTTTATCCTACATGTCCTGTCTTCTTCTGATGTGTGTGTCAAGGAAGGAGTAACACCTTTTTCTATCAAAAGCTTTCTTTGATCCCTGCGCTAAAACTAAAAGCTAGTTTGATGGGTGTCTTTTCAAAACCCCACATCCCGCTTTAACTCCCACCTTGCTGCCAACTCATCCTCTTGAAGCCAAAGTTCACTCTTCCCCCTTCAGAGTTGCCAGAAGGAAAAGTAAGCTCAATCCTTGCCATTCAAGCACTATGCCAGAATTAGCAGTGCGTCAGAGAGATGTGACAGGGTCAATGGCAGGACAGGGTCAAGGACAGGACAGGGTCAAGGACAGGCCAAGCAATCCTGCTTTGCCAGATCAATGGAAAGGGCCTTTCTGAAGAATTCTTGTTTTGCCACTGTCATCAAGGCATCTGGTCCTGACATCAGGATCAAAATGTCACAGGAGCCTAAGCTGGAAAGGCTTTGCTGCTGGTCTGAGATGGTATCTCCCCTGGAGACTCCAGCAGTTCGTGTGGCTGAGGAGAGAAACAGGGCAGATGGATTTACGCAAACTTAGGCTTCTCGGCCCCTCACTCACATGGGCTCCTTCCTATGGTCACATGCTTTTGTAAAATATTCAAAAAATGATATTCAACCACAGTTGGAGCTTTTACTTCTGCTGTTATATTTTCCCCGACACTGAGTCATGGTGGAATGGCCATGTGCACATTCGGGGGTCAGGCTAAAGGCAGCTGAGTCAGGGACACAGTTTGCTAGGGTGTTTGCAGGTGGCTGCAGTTACTTGCATGTAGAGTTAATTAGTGCTAGCCATTCAGTGTAGAAAAGGGTTCTGGGAGGGCCCCACTCCACCTTCTCATCCACTGACGTGACCAGAAGACGCAGGGCCTGAGGTGCGCCACAACATCACCGCACCCTGTGGTATCCAGACTGAAGGAGGGGAACGAGGTTTGAAATGTGTGGAGCCAGAACTCAATCTATCCACACAGAAATCTTTCCACGTAGAAAGACTTATGTGAAAGAATCTTGACAGAGGTTTTCCTGTTTGACAGCAATCCTCAGCAATTGTGAAGATGAATCTTTTCTCTGTTATCACAATAAAAAGGAAATTTTGATCAACAATGCTATAGGAAAAATTTTATCTTTTCTGTTCTTTATATTTAAAAATGACATTTACAAAATCATTGTTCTATGAGGAGTTTAACTTGTTTTCTATGGCTGCTGCAATAAATCCACAGTCTTGGTGGCTTAAACAATACAAAATTTAGTATCTTACAGTTCTGGATGTCCAAAGTCCAAAATCAGTGTCATAGGGCTAAAATCAAGGTGTTGCCAGGCTGGTTGCTTTGGAAGCTCTAGGGGAAATCTGCTTCCTTGATTTTTCCAGCTTCTAGTTGACACGTGCAATTCTTCGGTTCCTGGTCTCTTCCTCCATCTTGATAGGCAGTGGCATAGAATCTGACACCTTTGTCATCATCACATCTCTTTCTCTGACCAAACCCAGGAAAGTTTCCCTGACTTTAAGGATTCATGTGATTAGATTAAGGCCAGCTGGGTAATTCTGGATAATCTCTCCATTTCAAGGTCTGTACCATTAATCACATCTGCAAAGACCCTTCTGCCATATAAGGAAACATATCCACAGGCTCCGGTTGAGGATCTCTTTAGGGGCTATTATTTTGTCTCTCACAAATAGACAAAAAGATAATAGAGGTGTGTCAGGCTATTCATTGATTAAAATGTTACATTATTTTCCTGGTTTTGTAATGTTTCTTACTTGTCCTTTTTAATATTTGTAATTTATTGTTATTTAAAAATTTTTTCTCTCACAAAAATATGTGCTCTTTGGTACCTATGTATTTGTAATTTTGAATCCTTTTTCTTAGAGAAGAATCCCCTAATTGCATAAGCTCAGATTCCCATGTAAGCTGACTAATGGCGTCTCTACTCTCCCAATAACTAAACTGAGAACATTCTCTGCCCCCAAGCAGCAGGGGTCTGCTCTTGGCTGGTGTGGCTCACAGGCCACCGAGGGAACCACACAAGTGTGGAACAAGGCTCCCTGTGTCTCCCCTAGTGACCCTCCTTCTGTCTGTGACCTTAGAGAGTCACTTACCTAAACAAAGTGCAGCATGTAGACATGAGGGAAGGGAAGCCCCAAATAGCAGACATGCCTGGGGGAGACAGCAGAAGAGTGGGGTGACGTAGAAGTCCCCGAACTGTTAAACAGGAAACTTAACAAATCTCCTTCTTTCGTAAGTACCACGATTCTCTTCTGTTCACCCAGTCAGCTCTTTCTTTCTCCCCTGCCTATGGCCATGACTCTGCAACTTGTCTGCCTCGCTCTCTCGGACTCTTTCCTGTCCTCAGCACTGACCAGCAGCCCCTCTGCTTTTCTTGTGCTACCTTAGGAAAACACTCATCACCTGTGGCTTCTTTTGGGCCCAATTTAACTTTCCCTCTTCATCCTTTGGTGCTGCTTCCCCTTCCTCTGCTTGAACTTTTGCTTGAACTTCTTTCACTTTGCTTTCGGCAATTTCTAAATTACAACCCCCATTCTCCCTTGCCTAGTTTTTTCTGTTTCTTAGCAATATCCCAAAGTCTTGCCAAGGGCTTCTCTCCTGCCCATCATTTCCCTTCTAACATTTTGCTTTTCCTGCTATATTGAGAATGTTCCTCTTCCCCAGACCTCTCTGCTAAACCCCGCAGCCTAACAAGCAGCCTCTCGAGCCTCTCACTGGGCCTTTTCTCCTTACTTATACATGAAGGCAACCACTTCCCATGTCGACACCTGATTTCTGGCCTGTTGACCCAGATATACCCACAGCGCCACTTACCTGTGTTCTTGCAAACGGTCTCTAACACTTGACTCCAAAGATCAGTAGTGGGTCATTTTCCTCCCCAGTCACCCCCACCAGAACACCTCTCTTCCTGGCCCCTTCCTTTTAGTCCTTCCCTTTCACATGGTCATTCTGCAGGCGAAGGAGTGTGCATGCTCACACATTTTTCTGGGTTTTTTAAATCTAGTCTGTAGTTATGATGAGCCATCTGTCCTATATTGTTGAGTCCCGTCATGTGGTTTAAACATTCACATGGAGTGTGCTGCATCTCACAGCCTCATCTCTCTTTGAAAAGGAAACCCCGGTTCTGTGGACCTGAGACAGGATCTCATTCTGCCTTTTTTTGGAACCTGAAATTGCTCTGAGCCCTCTCCCAGTACCACGGCGGCAGCCCTCCGCAAGAGTCCCTGTGTGGGCCTCCTGTCGTCCTTCTCTGCTGGTCATAGCCCACCAAGGTGTGCTAGCTAGTTCTCATTGTCACAGCTGCAGCTGCAGTTTTTCCCTGGCTCCCTCCTTCAGCCCTGTCTGCTCTCCTCTCTCCACTGCTGCTCCCAGCTCCCAGCCCCTTCTTCTCCTCCCTTCCTCTCGGGGGTCCTTGCTCCTTCGTCATAAATTATGAAAATGTAGTTTATGTTTTCTTTAGAATTTCCCTCCATTATCACCTGGGGATCCACCATTCTCCTTCCTTTCTCTTCAGGTTCAAAGGTGTCTTCCCCGAAGTGCATGCTCTCCACTCCTGGGGTAGAGGACCCCCCTGGGCCAGCTTCTGAGTGGCACCTGCCTGCACCATTCCTCTGCAGCCTCCTCGCCCTTCACTGCTTACCCTTCCAGATCTGGTCCTGGGGCAACATTCTTCCCGCCCTGCCCCCCAACAGGACAGTACACTCTCCTCTTCCTCTTCATGCTCAAGGCCATGTTGGCCTCACCAGGAGCTTCCATGTCAGTTATGAGGATTCCTGAACACCAGAGAAGTTGGTGAGTAGAGCGAGTTAGTCCAACGTCAGTGGCAGGAGCTGGGGCCTCTTGACAATGAGGGCGGGACAATGCCCACTACATCTCCAGCCCAAGGGAGCAAAAAACAAAGTCCTCTGATGTCCAGGAGGTTGTGGGACAACTCGGTCCTGGTTGGTCACAATTAGTCACTGTCACGTGTATATGTGCTTCATTCACAGAGGATCTCCCTTTTTCCTAGTTTAATGGGGGATTTGGAGCCCTTCACAAATGAAGCCACTGCATAGATATAGTTCTATATCAGCTTTGGAAGACTATTGCTGCAGGCACACAGGACCAAGCCTTCAGCAATTTCAATGATTCCTTAGGCAGCACACTGAATGGGTGGCTCACCCCAAAGCTCCCTGGAGATCCCTTGTGACTAAGCCAAAGCGGGTATTTTTAAGGGCTTAGTTAAAGCCCCTGGTTGGTGGAAGACAAAAGAAAAAGCCTCCAACATAAACAATAACTAAAATACAAAGACTGAGAACCACTGAATCTGTAGAAAACAGGCAGCATCAGTCCTCGCAAAACTGCAGGTCCTTCCTTCCTTCCTTCCTCTTTCTTTCCTTCTTCCTTCCTTCCTTCCTCTCTCTCTCTCTCTCTTTCTTTCTCTTTCTTGCTCTCTTCACCCAAGAATATGTTTATTGATTTTAGAGCGAGAGGAAGAGAGAGAGAGAGAAGCATCGATGTGAAAGAGGAACATCGATCAGTTGTCTCCCATATGTCCCCTGACTAGGAATTGAACCTGCATGCAGCCTTTTAGTGTATGAGATGACACTCCAACCAACTGGGTATGAGCCACCCAGCCAGGGTCGCTGGTCCTTTTGGACAGAGGGTCGGCTGTGTACATGAGCCTCTGCTTAGAAAGGCAGGGGTATGCAATACAGATGAAGCCTCCTGGCAACTGGCCAAGATCCAGTGGATAGGCATCGTGACCTTGACTATTTTTCTGACATGAGACAGGACGCCTCTGGGTGTGACAAGAGTGGCAGCAAGTTTCCTTGGTCCCTTCTGCTATCACCATCATTGAGATGGCAGGAACTGAGGATCTTAAGAAATCACTTTCTGCCTGAAAACAAAGAACCACTTGAAAGGAATCACACAATATGAAGGGCTGTTTGAAATGCACTGCCTAGGAAAAAGTGCCATAGAAATGCAGGAGATTTGATAAATGGCTCACCTGCTCAGAAACATCCTGTGAATGACACAGCGGAATGTTGAACTGTTGAATTGAGAACACATGTTTCAGAGTCAGACTGACCTGGGTTCAAATTCTGCCTCTGCCTCCTACTAGTTAAGCAATGTCAACTAATCAGGCCCCCCCCACAGCGGGGGGTGGGGATGTGTGCTCACTTCAGCAAGCCTCAGTCATGCACAGACACTACATTCATTAATTTATTCATTCTTTTATTGATGGCTCTTCCTTGCTAAGAGTGTATTCTATCTTTGGTCTTTAGCCTCAATACTGGACTTTACAATTAGTTGTTTTTGCAAAGCCCTCACCGGAGAAGGATTTCACTTTCAGGGAATACAGGAGGTGATCTTGTCAACCCTCTGCTGGCAATTTTGCAGAACACCAAGCACAGGAAGGAGCATGTACAAGCCTCAGAGTAAACACAACTGGGATCCATTGAATCCGCAGGCCTGCTTGGTCATATGAAATTCACATGAAAGAGAGACGTGGCTGGCACATACCAGTTACCTTGTCACTGTCATTTTCCTGCCCAGAGGGTACTCTTCTATGAGAAGGACTGATGTAAGAGTGCAGTGGGATCAGAACACCCCAGTACCCATTGGTTGCTAACTAAATTCCAGGGGTTCTGTTTCCATTATTTCTTGCCTTGCAACAAGCCTCTCCAAAACTTACTGGACTACACCAACCACCATTGTCTTTTCTTCATGATTCTGTGTGTTGCCAGAGCTTAGCTGGGAGCCCTTCTGCTTCACATGGCATCAGTCAGATGCTTAACTGGGCTGGGACAGCCAAGAGCACTCACTCGCTTACAAGTCCGGAGCTGGGTGGGTGTGGCCGGAAGCCTAGGGCAGCGGGGTCTCTCTCTGTGTCTCTCAGGGCTCTCTCTCTTCACATGGCCTCGTTGTGTGGTCACTCCCACAGGGGAGCCAGACTTTGTCACACGGTGGTGTAGGGATCCCCAAAGGGTAAAAGCAGAAGCTATCGGGCCTTCTTATGGTTCAGGCCCAGAACTGTCACTTCCCTACATCCTATTGCTTAAAGCAAGTCACAGGTCATCTCAGATTCGTCATGGGAGGGGACTGCACAGGGGTGGGACTCTGGGAGGTGAGGTTTATTGGGGACAATCTTTGGACAATAGCTGTCAGGGCTCTCTACCTGGGGCTTCATAACAATATGAGAGAATGGACTATGGAATGTACCAGCGTCTGCTTATTTATCAGAAAACTTGGGCAAAACAAAATAGAAGTTATACCAATGCTAGGGACTGGGATACTGACGTTAATTTTAGTACCTCCTCATTAAGGAATTGGGGAATGTACTTAATTAGGCACGGTTTAAGTAGATGTCTCTTCCCTGTCCCTTAGGAGACATTTCTATCATCTTCTTGGTGTGTGTCATCTACTGAGCTTCTGTGATCTACGTGTCTTGTTGTAATCATGTATTGCTTCCCTTCCAGGGAACAGCATCTCACTCTTCTTTTGTCCAAAGTTAATCCTTTAGGTGCAGAATTTCTGCCAACTGTCCCCATAGCCCCGGATCCTGCTATTCCTAATGGCTCGTGAATAAAGATGAAATCTTGAGGCAGATTGTTGTCCTCCAATATGCAATCTGAAACAATACCTTGTGTATAAAATTTTCTGTTCCTGTGACCATCCTTGGTTTTGGAACTCTTTGTAACTGAGCAGTTGGAGGGTTTTATGGCAAGCGTTGGATTTCTGCCAAACTAACGATGTCCAGCTTTCGTAAAACATGAAAGAGAGCCCAACATAGCAGTATCTGGTGTTTGATAGATGCTCAACAATGCTTGTTGAGTGAAATAATAAATGTCATATTAATTACCTTTTGCAAAGAACCCAAGACGTTGTGAGTTTCAGTAACTGTTTGTTACCATGTTAACATCTGTCTCCATCCCCTTTTTCAGAAATTTTATTTATTTTTTATTGAGGTATAATTGACATGTAACATTACATTATTTTCAGGTCTACAATGTTATGATTTGATAATGGCTTATGCTGCAAAATGATCACCACAATAAGTTTAGTTAACATCCGTCACTATCCCTGTTCAGTTCAAGTTCACTGTCAGCCTATTTTATCTGCAGTTTTCTGAAGGACCAGGGTCAGGGGACAGATTAATTTCTAATTCATTCTTACAGGTGAAATTGTCAGCTTTCATCTGCTGTGCTATCAGAAATGGAAATTTGCATCTTGAAATTTTACTGACAGTTTTATTTTGGTTTTAGAAAAGGCAATGTCATCTGTGTTCTGGTAACCCTCAGCCTAGAGGGACTTTGGGGAAGAGTAGTGAATAATTCCCAATTTCTGCTCCTCACTCTCAATGCCCATCCCCAGTGGAAGTCACATCACTCTCTCAGGGCAAAAGCCGACTGGGCGGACACCTTGGGTGCAGCTCTCTCAATGGACACAAATTCTAGATTATCCGCCTATACCCCGGCTCCACTGGGATCTGGGCTATTTTTCTCCTGCTTCCTGAACCTGGCTCTTCTCTGTCTTTCTCCCCATCTGGTCAGTTATTCAATTGAAAACTCTCTTTCTACTCAGCCATCCCAGCTCCCTCTGGGAGCCTGGGCCACAACACCCCTGAGAGACGGTCCCCTCCTCAGGTCTTCCCAGTCCCAGAAACCATCATGAACAAGTGGCCTGTCCCATGGGCTGCCCCATGTTCAGGGCTTTGTCCTGTTCATGTTCTCTCAATCTCAGTCTGTTCAAAAATTGCTACTACAGTCCAACCCCGGTAGCCTTTTCTTTTTCCATCTTCTTTCTTCCTCTTAGCCTTCTCTATTCCATGTTCTTGTTCATGGGTTTTACTCCAGGGCCTATTATTGTACATACAATGACATGGTTGCATCTGCCTTTATAATGACCCCAATCCCATCCCAAGCTTCTTCCATGGTAGGTCAGCTCTTGGGTTCACAGAACCACATCGGAGTGGCACACAGGGAGGACCGCCTCAGCGCAACGCTGTCCGGCCCTTTTGTTGCCTGTCGTTATTTCACTTCTAGTCCCAGAGGGCCGGAAGCAAAGCTGGAGGTGAGACCTGAAGAAAGCTGGAGCCATGATGACCTTGTGCACTGTGGAGATGCAGACTCCACTCCTGGAAAGCCCACCGTCAATGCAGAAGAGGGAGGTGGGGCACCTCATATCTGCCGCGTATGCGGGGACAAGGCCACTGGTTATCACTTCAATGTCATGACGTGTGAAGGATGCAAGGGTTTCTTCAGGTAGGGTAACCTGTCAGCCTTCACCCACAGACCGCTCCTGACACACTGGGTCACATCTAACTGGGGTTGCACCATTGGCCCGCTGGACACAGGGACCTCAGCTTGACCTGTCTCCCAGGTCCAGAGAGAGAGCAGGCGGCCCATTCAAAGGCTCCTAATTAGTCTCAGGAGAGCCCTTTACACCTCAAAGCCATCCTCATCTTGTGTTTTCCTACCGGAGGAAGGTCTCCCTCCCGTAAGATACCCCATATGTTCTGAATAAAATAGAAATCCAGTCTGTAAAAGAGGAGTTTGAAAATCCAAAATGCAAGTGTTCAAATCAGTCTTAGGGTGTGGTTTTTCAGTAAGAATGGTATAAAATAAATGAAGAATATGACAAGACAAGCTCACTTAGAAACAGGCAAATAGGGAGGTCCAAAAATGAAAGACTAAAAAGTCCCAGCTCACAGCAAGACAGGCCCAGACAGAAGAGCTCACATTGTCCAGCCAAAGAAAGAGAACAGCAAAGCTCAATGTAGGCTCAGACCAAGGGGAACAGAAGCCGACCAGGAAAGGAGGGGAGCGGAGGAAGGCGTATTTGAGGAAGGGCTCTCCCCTGGCCCTGATGGAGGGCTGGGTGTCCTGAGAGCAGCTCCCACCTCTGGGGTCACATTTGGGACCCTCACACATTGTTGGGACACCAGCCTGATGGGGTCCTCTGAAGAGGTGTTTGTTTTTTTTGTTTTGTTTTTGTTTTTTCCCTGAAGGCTGAACAAGGGAATGGAAACAAACCCTAGAGCCAGAGCCGACCCTACAGTCCCAGAGGTGGGCTGCAGTCAGCATTTCATGGGTGGGGGGGTCCGTCCCACAGAAGAACTTCCAGACCCATATCAGCCCAGGGAGGCACTGTAGCAGCTCAGCGCGCCCCCTACCCCCACACCCTCTGAGTGAAGAAATCCCCGCTTTGGGCCGCTTGAGCCATTCTCAGGCCCCCATGGGGCTAGGTGAGCCTAGGGCGTTCTAAGACGACCGTGTTCCAGTGGGAACAAGCGTGCATGTTGTGCGGATTATAACACAGGTCAGACCAGCCACAGTGTGGTAAAGCCTTTTGAGTGGAGTGTTCTGTCACTTGCATTCAGTTACAAGTGACAGAACACTCCACTCAAAAGGGTCTACCAATAAGGGAAATATGTTACCTCTCATAACTAGAAGTCTGAAGGGTTGGGCTGAATTCAGGGCTGGCATGATCATCAGCTCAGTTCTTCCCATTTTTCTTTTCTGCCATCCAGCGTGAGGACCCTGACCTCAGCCTGCTCCCCTTGGGGCAGCATAGAGCCTGGGTGGTCAGCCTGGAACAGAAAGGGCCATCTCTTCTTCTCCTTAAGAGGAAAGAAGCATTTCCCAGAAGGCCCCCCTCATTCCACATTGACTAGAACTGGGCACCAGACTCCCCCTGAATTGGCCACTCACAGAGAGTGTCCCTGAGCTAGGTCATATGCCAACAGGGCCAGGTGGAGGAGGGCGGCCCCCTGAGCCAGATCCCATCCTGCCTGCAGCATCTGTGTGGGATGCTTTGGGGTGTGGGGCCGTCTGCTCTCCCCTTCAGCCCAGTCTGTTCTGGGACCCCCAGAGGGAGACAGCACACTGTAGTGGTACGAGCTTGCATTCTAGTGTCAGGCAGACACAGATTCATATTTCAGCTTGTCACTTACCCTAAGGACAGGCAGTGCAGCGATATATGTTTGACTCAGTTTCTGCATCTGTACCAGGCAGATGACACAATGTATTCTGTGCAGTTGTGAGAACTGAATTTGCAAAGCTGTGCAAAATAACTAGCCCAGCATATGACCCATAGCATGCTGCTAATAAACTCGAGTGCCTCCCCCTCTCTACCCTTTTGGGTGTTCAGGAGTAGGATCAGGGTCTCTTACTCAGCCACAGGGGAAGCAAAAGTGAAGGGGTGTTGCCTGTGAAGCACCTGCCCCCTGGGCTAGTCACTGGCCTGACCCACCAGTTACCCGATTCTGAGTGTGGCGCAGCCTCCCGCTTCAGCCCCCAAGGCTGTCTGCAGCCACTCCTGTCTGTCCCCACGTTCCTCACCAGCATTCCCTCATCTTCCACGCTGCCAAACCAGAATCAGAGGCTAGGGCCAGGGAAGAATTTTTTTCTTTCTATTCTGCTGTGACTGGTCGGGGGATAAATTTACAATCCGATGGCTAGGCCTTTTGTGGGAAGTTCAGGATGCCTGGGCTGTGGGGAGAGGGTGGTTGTGCTGGGGCCTCTAAAGGGCATTGACCCCACCATCTTCTTACCTGGCACAGCCGGGCAAGGACAAGCGGCTGCATTAACCACACACTTCACTATTACAGGGCTGTGAACTTCTTTGCTCCATAAGGCCAATCAGGAAAAGGCACATTTCCAATGGGGAAGCCACTGCTCAGTGAGGTAGAAAGCCTCCTCATAGTTACCTCTCCTCCAGCTGCCCATGACCCCTGAATGTGGAGTGGGGGCTTCTTATGTTTCTTAGGCTTCTGGGGTAAGGTTTCTTCTGGGTCCCTCGTCCAACAAGGAGAAACCCAGGGAGAGACCACCACCACAGAAACATTGCTAAGGTCCTCTTCTAGGGTGCCCAGGAACAAGGACAGAAGGGAAGGGGATAGGGGTGTGGGAGGGACCTGGGCCTGGGGCCTGGAGCAGAAGCATCCCAGACAGCGGCTTGGGGCTGCCGCAAGGCCATGTTGAAAGTGAACAGAGCAGGAAAGATTTCCACCTGTTTCCCTCCTCCAGTGACCTCTGGGCCTTGAGGAAAGCCTAGCCCAAATGGAAGATGGAAGAAGCCCCTCCTCTACCGTTCCTATGAACCTGACCCAATTCAGAGGCAAAGGCAGGCTCACAGAGGGTTTGGCTAGTGTCCTGGTAGTGGGACAGGACAGAGAGGAAGAGAGGTGTGGCCTGGAGCTCTCTGGCCTGTTCTCCATGGCCTACCTTTTGCTCTTCGTTTTCTACCAGGAGGGCCATGAAACGCAATGCCCGGCTGAGGTGCCCCTTTCGGAAGAGCTCCTGCGAGATCACCCAGAAGACCCGACGACAATGCCAGGCCTGCCGCTTACGCAAGTGCCTGGAGAGTGGCATGAAGAAGGAGAGTGAGCAGTGGGATGTGCCCTGAGTGGGCGTGGGACCAGGTGCATGGGTACTGTGAGCCTGGGGCCCAGCAGGAATCGGCCTGGGGGATGTGTATGCGCAGGTGTGCAGAGGTGCACCATGAAAGTGTGCGCGCATGTGCATAAGTGCTTGTAGCAGCTGAGGCCTGTGTGCAACAGGCAGGAATGTGGAGCAGAGCTTGCAGCCTGTACCACACGGTCCATCCCAGCATGTGACAGATGGAGGGGAACTTTATCCTCTGCTCTGGGTGTGGGGGGCATCTCGAACCAGAATCACACCCGTGTGTCCCCTGAAGTGCCCTTGTGATTCTTGTTGGCCCCTTTAAAATTGCCCTTATTGTGTTTTAGTGGAATTGGGGGAAGTGAATTGGGGAGAGGGAAGCCAGAGACACACGGTGCGATACGACCCCCAACCTTCCAGTGGGTCATGCCCACTGGCTGTCCCAGATGCAGCATCTTGCCCAGGAACTGTTTGCAGACAGGTGACACAGGATGCTTTTTCATTCTACCTGTCAAGCTTTGGAATAATTGTGCTCCTGGGTCACTCTGAGATTAAACACAGTCATGGGGAGCACACCAGCTGCACCTCATCACTCTGTCCTTACCTAGGTGTTTCTCCAGAGGAGCCCATGGTCCTCATGAGCCCAGAGAAGGGTGGGTTTCTTGTAGACAGCACTTGCCCTGCTGTTGCGTCTGGGGTTAAGAAGGGTGGCCTAGCTCCTCGCGGTACCTGAGCCTGCTCCTGGCTGTCCCTGCAGTGATCATGTCTGACGCAGCAGTGGAGCAGAGGCGGGCCTTGATCAGGAGGAAGAAGCAAGAACGGACTGGGATGCAGCCCCTGGAGGCCAAGGGTCTGACTGAAGAGCAGCAGACAATGATCAGGGAGCTGATGGATGCTCAGATGAAAACCTTTGACACCACCTTCTCCCATTTCAAGAATTTCCGGGTATGAGGTTTTAGAGTTAGCTCAGCAGCTATGCCAGCTCCTCAAAACCCCAACTCATCCTCAAGGACCCTCAAAGAGTGGCCCTGGACACCAGCAGCAGTGGTACCTGAGAACTTGTGAGAACTTGTTAGAACTTGTTAGAAATGCAGAGTCACACCTCCAAATCGGGAACTCTGAGGGTGGGCCCGGCAGTCTGTATTTTGACAAGCCCCTCCCCCAAACCCTCCGGGTGATTCTGGTGCATGCTGGGGTTTGAGAATCTTTGCTTTCTCCTTCCAAAACAGGTGGGATTTGGGTTTGAGCCATAAATGGAGTCTTGGATGCTGAGTTGTCCCAGAGTTGCTGGCATTCAGGACTTCAGGAAAACAGGGTCAGGGCCTGTGGGGGGTAAGACACTTGTGAACTGGTTTTACTGATTCATGAGATGTTAGTGATCTCAGCACTGTCGGCCGCCTCTGATCCCTGTGCCCTTCTCCCCCGAACTCACCATGCACACAGAGTTTGGGGTGACCTGCCCAGCTCAGAGAACTGGCAGCCAGTGGCCCCAGAGATCTGATCTGTTCTTTCCATATGCAGACCCCAGACTCTTCTCTCAGAGTTTCCCAAGTGCAAGGCCAGGGATGCTGGGGACACATCCATGGGTGTAGGTCCCCCTCACCTTCCCTGGGACAGGGAGCAAATCTATGTATGACCAGGCAGGGATGACAGAAAACATTAATTCACAGATCCAGAAAGTGCACCACCCGATAGGAGACCACGGAGAAGAAGCGAGCGCTGTGTGTGCGCGCGTCTGTGCGTACGCCTGCAGTAGTGCATCCTCTCATGCCTGCTGCTGTGGGTGTCCATCAGGGGCCTGTGTGGGAACTTGTTTGGGGGAATACATGCTGTCTATCCTCTCCTTTCTCTACCTCCTGCTCTGTTCCAGCTGCCGGAGGTGCTCAGCAGTGGCCATGAGGTCCTGGAATCTCCGCAGCCTCCATCGGTGGAAGATGGTACCAAGTGGAGCCAGATCAGAGAAGATCTATGCTCATTGAAGGTCTCTCTGAAGCTGCGGGGGGAAGACGGCAGCATCTGGAACTACAAACCCTCAGCAGAAGCCAGTGGGAAAGAAATCTTTTCCATGCTGCCTCACATGGCCGACATGTCAACCTACATGTTCAAAGGCATCATCAACTTTGCCAAAGTCATCTCCCACTTCAGGTAGGACATGAGGGCTGGTGGACAGGTATGGGAAAGAGCAGAAAGCAGCCAGTGGGTTTAAAAGCTCTGGGGCAGATCCTTCTGAACTTGGGATATGTTGGTGCCCAAAGACCCTCCTTTATCCCTGCCCCTGCACCAGGCACCTGCACCGTGGAGGGGGCGGGGATGGAGCCCTCACTGCCCATCTCCTTAGCTTGGGACTGCGGGTCTGCCATTCAGTCTCACTGTGTCTCAGCCTCCTCATCTCCTGGAAGGGAGCTGATGAGGTCTACTTGCTGAGCTGTTGTCTGAAATAAGAAAACATCTGCAGAGCATCCCGCTCATACATAATGGACATTCAGGTAGTAATTACCTCTCCTATTTCTTCCCAAAAAGGCAGGAATCATAAGTTGATAGTTCCAGTTTAAAGAAAGAGCTGGAAGGAAAGGGAAGAAAGTCCAGAGGAAGAATAAAGAGAGAGACAGACACAGATGCTGGGTTGCTAGCAGCCTGCCATGGAGAGATGGTTGAGGGGGCCATGAGGAGGAAGGGCAGTCCTGAGAACCAAGGGGCTGGGACTCCCCAAAGCTAGGTGGGGAGGCAACAACCAGGGGGCAGTGAGGTGGGGAGAAACCTGGAATCCTCCTGGTGTGGTGGCAAACACTGCCCTATAATGTGTAATCTGTCAGGGCTGGAGGCAGTGATGGGCACACCTGTCCATGGGGTTGGCCACGTGGCCTGGTCAGGTGGAGCTGAATAGCACACACAACACAGGGGGCTGAATACCCAAGGAGACCAAAGCCAGTTGGAGGAACATTAGAGGTGGCCACTGGGGCTACCTGGGCTCCAGGCATCCTGGATGCCTGGAGAGAAACAGCAGAAATATGAACTCCAGAACAGACAGCAGGAAGCAAACATCCCTGCAGCATGGAACTCATGCCAAAGGAGTAGCTGAGGCATGACTCTGGAAGGACTTCTAGGAGGCACAAAGGTAGCTTGGCCTGAAGGACTAGCAGGTTAATTTAAGTGAAGATAAAGGGGCCATCATTCCAAGTGGGGAAACTGAGGCAGAAAGAATGAAGCCAGGGAGCAGGAGCCAAGGCATTGGCTGTGGGTCAGTGGCTGGGCAGGGAGTTGGAGGGGACAGGGCTGGGCTGTAAGGGACACCAAGCTCCATTGGCAGGGAGTCCCTGAAGGCAGCAAGAGACTAGAGGAAGGTGGCAGGGAGGGGTAATCTGCTTGTCTGGATTGTGAGGGCAGAGATTGGAGGCAACCAAAAGCAACTGCAATAATCCTCAAGGGTATGAGTTCATCCTACCTCCTCCCTCCCTCTCCCCCATTTCTGGATTATGGGAGTGGGTGCTGGCCTGTGGCAGCTTCCTGGAAGCTGGCATCCCCTCCTATCCTTGCTGCCAGGGACCTGCCCATTGAGGACCAGATCTCGCTGCTGAAGGGGGCTGCCTTTGAGCTGTGCCAGCTGAGATTCAACACGGTGTTCGATGCAGAGACCGGGACCTGGGAGTGTGGCCGGCTGTCTTACTGCTTGGAAGACCCTGCAGGTGCCCAAGAGCCACGTGCTGGCCCGGCAGAGGGAGGGAAACAACTGGGAGGGAGGAGAGGAGCCACGCCAGGATGTGCATGTCTGAACACTGCAGGGCAGAAGGCTGGGCAATGGGAAGAACGACCTTGGTCAGGGAACTCTGGAGTTTGGGTCTCTTTCCTGACCGGTTTCCCCCTCACCCTGCATCCACCCACAGGTGGCTTCCAGCAGCTTCTGCTGGAGCCTGTGCTGAAGTTCCACTACATGCTGAAAAAGCTGCAGCTGCACAAGGAGGAGTATGTGCTGATGCAGGCCATCTCCCTCTTCTCTCCTGGTGAGGCCCCTGCCTGGCCCACTTGGCCTCCCAGCCCCCAGGCTTGCTCGCAGCCCCTCAGCTTTAGCTGTGGAGGCAGTAGCCCTTCCTCCACCATCCCCAGAGAAGATCCTAACCAATAGATCTTCTTGTTCTCTCTTCCTGCAAAGCCAGGATGGGGACTCCAGCTGAGTTTTCCTTGGGTGGGTGGGCCACAAACAGCCCTCGTGGCGATCCAGTCATTTCTCTGCCTGGATGTCTTGGCTCTGGAAGGTGATTGCTGTCTCTGGGCCAGACTGAACTTGTCTTTGCCCCTGTGGCCTTGCTGGCCCCACACTGCCTTTCCCTTTCTACCAGACCGCCCAGGCGTGGAGCAGCGTAGTGTGGTGGACCAGCTGCAGGAAAGATTCACCATCGCCCTGAAGGCCTACATTGAGTGCAATCGTCCCCAGCCTGGCCACCGGTGAGCAGCAAGCAGGGAGGGTATGAGGGGGTTCCCCTAAGAGCCCTGCCCTTGGGGCTCTGCTCCCTACCTGCTGCCCCTCCCCCCCATTTTGGGGCTCTCTGGGAGAGCAGAGTGAAGGCACTCCTGGGGCAGGCTTTGATTTCCAGGGTTTTGGGGCACCGTTCTGTGACCTCTATTGAGGCCTCCTGTCCAGCCCAGGCTGAACAATGGAGAAATCTAAAAACGGCATGAGGCCATGCCCAGCTGATGGAACACTACTTCCTGAGGCTCAGCTCCTTTCTGCCCAGGGCCTTCTCTTCTGTCATCAAGGGGAGGGGACAGTCAGGCACTCTCCTGAGGCTCTTACAGAATTTTCTAGCAATAGCCAGAAATATATAATGTTAACAATAATGATGATAATAGTAAATCTATAATAGCTATCATTTATTGAGAAGTGCTAGCCCGGCAGTTTACATGTATTATCACCATTAATCCTGAAAACAGCCCCACCAAGTGAGTGCTACCACCATCTGCAGAGGACTGGACGCTCAGGGTAGCTGTCCCAGGTTCCACTGCCAAACAGGTGGGATCTGGAGGTGGACCCAGGTGGGCCAAGTCCATGGCCCACACTCTTGAGCACTGCCTAACCACCTCCCAGAACAAAGGTGAGCAAATGAGGCAGGAAACTCCTTAGTTTGTTCTCACACAACCAGAAGGAGGAGGGCTGCTAAGGGCTTGGCTGGACAGGGGCTTCCATCCCTTCACTGGGCCTCAGGAGTCCACAGGTTTGAGCCATGAAGCCAGCAATGTGTATGTGAGTCCTTATTTGGCCTGCTCCAGCTTTCTTTTGAGCTCAGAATCTTGGGGTGCTACAGCAGCTGCATCTTTCTTTGCTCAGTTGTCCCCTGTATGGAGCTGGGAGGTGTCATGAGGAAACTGAGGCACAAGGTGTACGTCAGTCACTATATCCCGGGCTAGATCCAGAAGGGATAGCAGCTTTCAGCCCCTGATTCCACAACTACTGCCCTCAGTCCTCACTCCAGCCCTTACCTAAGGCTGTGATTCCCAAAACTGACCTGTGCACTTGGTGCCTGCAATGACTGCGTGTTCCCATGGAAAGCTCCTTGTACAAGGACTCAAACCCAGAGGATGAGGTGTAAGTTGCAGGGGAGGGATGCATGTCTACACCTTAAGTCCCCCAGGCTGTTCTGTCCTTCTTGTCCACAGGCTGAAAGAGAAGCTTAAGGAATTCAACTGAGACTTTCTCAGCTGAATTTTGGCTGACCCAAAGTGTTCTGAGATTAAAACCTCAAAACTTGTGCAACTCCCAAGTGGTCCCAGGGTCGGTGGGTAGGGGCAAGGGTGGGCTGCCTCTCAACCTTTGCTCTGGCTGGCCTGCAGGTTCCTGTTCCTGAAGATCATGGCTATGCTCACCGAACTTCGCAGCATCAATGCCCAGCACACCCAGCGGCTGCTGCGCATCCACGACTTACACCCCTTTGCTACCCCCCTCATGCAGGAATTGTTGAGCATCTCAGAGAACTGAGCGGCTGCCCCATGGGCGCGCCTCTGGGGGGTAGCCATATCCAGAGTCCTCGGAGCCGCCACTCCTGGGGCTAGTCAGAGGGACACTGCCAAGATCAGACCATGCCCTACAGGTGCTGCCTTCTCGGGGAACACACGGCAGCTCTGATGATGCTGGCCAGCATTCCACAGGAAGGGACAGGGACCCCTAGCCCCCAGCTCAGTCTGTGGAGAGCAAAGCCACTGACCCTCAGAGAGAGAGTGCATTGGCCTAGAGATCAGACCTATCAGGAGGCAAGGCCACTGCCCCCTTAGAAAAGGCCCTGTGGTCTGGGGATTTAGTGTCGTGGTAGGAGAGCAGAAAGGATGGCTGGGGTTGGGCCAACTGAGGGTCTATGCCCACTCCCAAGTTCATTAGCTTCTTGGGTTTTTTCACTGCTATTTCTAGTACTCCTGTCTCCTACTTTCCGCTCACTCTCAACCCACAGCACCTTGTCTTGGGTTGCTTGGGGAGTTCCAGGCCTGTGTTGATCAGCAGGTGCATTAGGGTCTATGGGAATATTCTAGGGAGAAGACAGAGAGCCTGCACCAATGTCAGAGCTTGTCATGACCATTCTGTGTGTCCATTCTTCCCTCCTTATGTGTCTATGCATCCATTCAAACATTAAGTACGAACAATATGCAACCTGCTGTATGATATATATGCTGAACCAGACATGGATCCTGACCTCGAAGAGTTTATAGTCCAGCAAAGAAAACAAAGCAGAAACACAAATAACCTTGATCAAAAGGAAAAGTGACAAGTGCCAATAATAAGAAATTTCTTTGTGTGGATGCTAAGCTATTCTAGGATAGTGGGTACACATGAGGACCTAAGTAAGAGACCCCTGGAACATGTGGGCACATGTGTGTGACTTGGTGTAGGTCTGCTCCATATCTGAACTGGGGCTTAGGTTTTCTCCTGAGGCTGAAACACTGGGTTGTTTTGACAGGTTATGCTGACAGGCAGTTAATAAATGTGTTAGATGTGCATGCACTGTATGTTCCTGTTTCCAAATCTATTATCAAAACTCAAGAGTATGAAAGTTTTATAAAGCTTTGTTTATATCCATTTTGAGTAAAAATGTTTTTGCTTTTTTGCCAATTACACTTTAATTCCACCCTTAAGGCTTAGTTTGCAAATATAATCCTGAGTTTAATGTCAAATCAAGGCCTGACAACTTAAATAACTTTTAGCTAGAGGTTTAAAAACTTTTTTTTTTCTGGCTTCTGGGGAAAAAAGACATTTAGGGGTGGGAAAAGAGAAACGTCTTACATATAATATACAAATTTCTATTTCCATTTTTTACTACTTATTTTAGCATTGCCCTTTACACAGCTGAAGACTATTGGTGCAAGAACATAAAAATGTATTCTTGGTTTTCTCATAAAATGATTCTTCTATATAAAAATGTAATATACTTATGTCATAATTAAAAATGTAGTAATTGAACTAATCTTAAGTCTAATATGTTGATGCAAATGAAGCTACAAGTTAACTGAATTTTAAGGAACAGATACTTGCTTAGCTTTTATCATTTTGCAAGAAGTTGGCCAAACTTTGAGAGCATAAGAAATTGACATCATACCTCAAAGCAAGCAAACCTATTCCCTCTGTTCCTTCTAGATTTACCAGCCTCTTCTGCATGAAGGAGATTTAGAACACACTCATTTTTAGAAAGAAACTAAGGGGGGAAATATCTTTGCAAATACAATGAACACAGCTTTTGCTCCCAGGGATTTGTCTCTTTTGGAAATATGTGTCATTCAACTATATTCATAAATCATATGCATCTCCTCTTCCTCTTTGGGGTAATTTTGAGTGTGTCAGTCATTCAAATGTATGCTACAGTGAGGGCAAGCTGTGATTAAGAATGGATGCAAACTTCCATCTCCCAGTATTGATTTTAAAAATGGGCAGTTACCCAAACATTGACTTGATATGTACATATCTATATAATAAGTATATATAATAAAAACTAAGTGTAGTCCAAATGTAGTTAAGATTCAAGGTTAGATGAACCAAAGAGCTCGCCCAGGATACTTCCTTTCAGCAGTCTGGATCTCACGTTTATAGGGCTGGGAGCCAGGCTCAAATTTCCTACTCTCAAACATTTGGATTTCCCTATTACTCTCTCCACTGTGCTTCGAGCAGGTAGAACTGGGTCAGTTTCTAGGCATCCCTGTGGCCACTGTTGTTTTTCTAGGTCTTGCCTCCGGTGAGGATGAAATCAGTTTCCAAAGCTCAGGAGAAAAGACCTTCTAAGTTAAGTTACTCTTTACCTTCTAGCTCCCCCATTAGTCAGAGCCACTCAGCAGCCAATCCCTACCTCGCCCAGACTTTAAAGATCTAATTATATAAAGTCTTCACATCAAGTCTTAGTGGAAGGTCCAGGGTGGCTTCTCCTTTCTGGAGAAAAGAGGACATAAAGAGAAACATACATTTGGTCAATCATCCTTTTTCACTCTGACAACTGGTGGGCATCATCATTCCATCTTCCACAACACTTCAGTTTTTCCCTGGACATGTTCCTGTAACATACCCACAGCTCTCCTAAATGTGAAGGTGCTCCTGGGTAAGTGAACTATTCCTACACCTGAGGACTGGGTGACCACACCCTCACTTCTGTTTACTTCCTCACCAGCTTCTCCTTGAAGGGATTCTGCATCCTGACAGCTCCCTTTCCTCAGTAACTACCCTTTTAGAACACCTAAAATGGTATCCACTGTAACTGTCCCCCCGAAATGTGATCCCAGAGGACTGGAAAGGCACCCTTCCAGGATTTTAAGTTAAAAGAGTTATCTTCCTCTCTCCCCATTCATACAGGGCAGGAAACAAGGTATTAGAGAATTCCCAACAAATGTACTTCAATGCCATCAGGAGGCCAGCCCATCCCACAAGCGACATCTTAACCCTCCTTCTCCTTCATTCCCTGAAACTGTCATCTTTAACTATTATACAAATATTAGCCAACTTCACAGAGAAATAAAGAGGATCAGACTTTATCCAATATAAACTTTTTATTGAAGCAGCAGTCACATGACTTTATATCTAGCCTTTAGATTAGGCCTGACAATGAGCCAGCCCTAAGGGAAAAATGTTTCTTTTTGCACTAAAGAGACATTACATGTTTACATAACATCATCCAGTATTAGAAATGATCAGACTCAAACACAACATGTGTTGGTTACCTGGGAGGTACAGCCCCACTGTTTGTGGTGTTCGTTTATTTTACAGATACTCCCCAAGACCATTAATAATGGCATGAAACTTAAAAGAAAACACAGCCACACCAAACCATGAACACAGTAATCAAAGACAGCAGCTTATACATGTTTTTAAAATTTGTCCCTTTCAGGGTTGTGTTCTTTCTTTTCAAAGCAGTGTCTGCAAACTTCCTCTACATCAAATGCAAAGGTTTCCAAGATGGAAGCTGCACCTCTCGGGGCTACACAATGGAATAACATCATTTGAAAGAACGAGAACTAATGTTCATATCTTGATTTTTAATAACAAAGATCCATGTGTCTCTAATTGGAGGAAAGGAGATGGTGACGTGACTACATATTGCAGTGGCAAAATAAGCAGGGTGAAGAGAGCTGGGTACTGAAATAAAGACCACACACTTGTGAATTTTAATTTCATTTCCAGGCTAACCTACTTTTTATTTAATGCAAATTACAGTACCAGTTAACTATTTCCAAACCAAGTCACATAGAACGAAATGTATTTACAAGGGAATGGGGAAAGGGGGGAAAAAAAAACATTGAGCATACTTTTCACAAAAAAGTTTATATTTAAAATGAAAAAAAAAATCAGTCACAGAGGCATTCAAGTAGTAATAATGTTATACAGATTTTGCTTTTCCTTTATATCAAGACAGATTTGCACAAGTGTTTGCAATAGTTTGTATACAACCCACAGTCCTTTATATATATATATATATGTATATATAATAAATTTTGTTTTTTTTAGGTTTGTTTTTAAGATGGGAGTGGTCACGCTAATTGGTATGTGTACAGGCCCAAGTGATCCATCGGCAACACATTTATAAATGCAAATTTTACAGGCAAGCACATTTCATACATCTATCTGAATCTGCCTGTAGACAGATATAGTAAGAAAAAAAACTTAAAAATTAACACAAGGAAGTCTACTTTGTCAAGCTAACCCCTCATGTACTGGTTGTCATTTTGCTTTTATTGCAGAGATGCAAAACGGAGCAACAAACTTGAACAAAACATCATAACCCTTGTGAAAATAATCCAACCCCAGGGATTACTTCCAAAGCCTCTCAAATGTAGACCTTAGTCTGGGACTCGACTCTGCTTCTAGTTGTCTCTCTTATTTTCAGTGGCTCAGGTTTCTATCAGAAAAGACGGATTCTATTGTAAAGCATGCTTAATTTCCTTTTCTACATAGGTGAGAAAGTGTTCTGCTCTGTGATTAGATGATCACTATCAAGTACAATAAGAATCAGGTACAATTTTGGTTTAAAACAAAGAAAAATCCCCCAAACTCCTGGGGATCTGGCATCAGCCAAACTTCCTTTGGAAGATTCCAAAGTTAAATCCCTAAAAAGGGAAAGGGAAAACAAAATAAAATGCCAGTGTCTTTATATCCACAGGGATAGAGAATATAATAGTCCTCTCAGAAACCTTTGCATTGGTGCAGACAAGATGACTGGTTAGGCAGGCTTTGCTAAAACACAAACCAAAAATATCTAAAAATTAATAAGAGGACTTTAAAAAATGACGTCACTGGAAAGAAGGTGCAGTCTTCCGCCTTGCTGGAATGAACACATGATGTTTCAAAAATAGGAACCTTTGGTTTGGTAAAGTTTTTTTCTTCTACTCAAGACATCTTATATGGAATACTTGGAGGCAAAACAATTTTTTTTTCTTTCAAAACGGACTTCATAATGGGTACACAGCAAGAAACTGATTTTTGAAAAAATAAATTAAAATGACATTTCACTGAAAGGGGTGGAGGTGGTAGGAGGGCGGAAATAGGCTAAGAGTTCCCTTGCTAAAACAACAGTCCTCTCCTGGCACGGCAGCATTCCATGCACTAACTGCTGGTATCACACTATATAGCATTTCAGACAACTGGTTATCAAAACCTGACACTATGAAGAAACTTTGATTTATAAAAGCCAATTCTGTGTCTCTCATTTTTGAGGGAAGGAGATGAGGGGAGAGTGAGCATGGATGCCTGCTGTTTTTTAAGACCCACGGTTAGGGTTTGGGAAAGAGACGAGCAAAATCTAACTTACTGAAATCCTCCAGCTCCAGGGCTCCCTGGCACTACATTAAGGCCCTGGATGGCCCCAGTATGAAATGAAACCGGTCACTCTGTTGCTGAGGAGGAAACGGGCATTCAGAACCAAAACAAAGGCAGGGCTTGAGTGACATGCAATTACGAACATGGTTTCTTGTTTCCACTCCTGAACATGGTGTCACTGAACTTCACTGTGAAGAGGCACAGACACTGTGTTGTGAGTGAGCTATTATTTCAAAGGGAAAAAGGGTGGGACAGGGAGACATGGATAGAGAAACCAATTAAAATTTTAAAAATGAAAAAAACAAAACAAAAACCCAAACACATGGAAGCGAAGGCACTCCAAACTATATAGATACACTATACATTGCTAGAGTTATTGTTACAATAATACAGGCCGGTACCTACTGTACAGAGTTAAAACTATATGGCTTTAAAAAGCTCGTCTACATTTTTGTCTGATTATTAAACAGAATCACTGCCCTGAACAGTAACTTTTTGCTCATTAATAACAGTTCCTGGGTCCACATATTTACATACAAAACAATAAAACTTAAATTTAAAAACATTGAAAGAAAATATAATGTACAAGCTTGAATTTGGTGAGGAGCTTTTATTATTATTATTAGTATTTACAAAAAAGATATTCAGAGACCTGAATCTCACTTGTATAAAAGAGTTCTGTGATCCCGCCATGATCCTTGAGAAAGAAAAAAATCATGCACCTCAGCCCTCACATACATAATGAGAAAAGGATCTCACTTTTCTCTCTTCTTTTCTCACCCCATTTATCGGGAGTGGGGAGGAGAGTATTTTGTAAAACAAACACAGATATTTATGGAATCCAGCAAGTATACCAAATCCAGATTGGTGTCTGTGCCTGGATGTTTAGCGGGGCAGTTTGGTCTGAAAGCAGGTCCATTTCTGTCCTATGTCTGCTGCTCTTCATCTTCTTTATGAATCCTTTCTGAAAATGGTCTATCAAAGCCATTTTTTTAGGAATCATGTTGCTGTATACTTTAAGACGTCTTTCAAATCTTAATTAGCTCTCAAAGGCTCATTATGAAAAGTAAAATTCAATCTGTTTGATTTGGTTTGACTGTGTTTTCTTTCTCATGAACTCTGATATAAACAGAGGTTTGAGAAACCCCCTTTGTGGCCTAAGAGCTCAGCTACACAGTGAGTGAAAACTAAGATGGCTCACAATTGCCTTTCTGGGTATTGGTTCACTTCAGCAGGCAGTAGGACTCTTGGAGAGTCACATACACTTGGGTGAGAAGCAGTACAATGTGTGGGGACCTGCATGAGGGCTGTCAAGAGACTCTACTTCCAAATCACCTGGAGGGCGAGATCCCTAACGTGATCTAAGGTGGAAATGAGAAGGGTGAAGGTAGGTTACACACAATCTAGGGCTCAGCTCTGTAGCCCTACAGTTTTCAGCTAACCTTGGAAAGTGTGCAGGAAAGGAGCGGGTTGGAGGGAAAGGCAGCCGTCACTCAAGTGATCTTTAAATGTAAAGTACAACTGATTGTGCCTTAAAGATTCATAGGTCAAGTAATGGCCCATAAGCACCAAGGCGACTAAGGTTCATTTTAGAGTATGTAAGGCCCACATAGATGTCAACCTTAAAAGGATAAAACGAACTAGTTGTGAAAATCTAATTCTTCACTGCAAACATAATCCTTCAATCCTCCTTGCTTTCCAAGGAATATTGCTTTTTCTTCAAAAACAAGAGACTGATTCTTACACCGTTCACTGATACACAAAACAGAAACAAAAACTCTCAACTGGGTATGGGGGGAAACACTCTTCGCACTCTTCAAGCAGTCAATTTTGATACTGTGGACAAAGTAAAAACAAAACAAAAAAGGCAGTATTGAATCTAAGTATATAACACACATATACACGTTTATATAATCCACTTTCCTATAAATTCAGCAGGTACAAATGACTTTTGTTTATATCATTTTGGTGTGTAGTTTTTAATATTCCTACCAAGCTGAAATCATAATGGCCTATCTGACATGCATCAATAAATAAAATTTAAAAAGTATAAGGTTAAAAAAGGCTGAAATTAAATACAGGTTCTAGATTTGGATTTAATATTAGAGCTATGTCTAGAATGTGGCAATTTCTGCAAGCTCCATCTGTAATTTAAAAATATGAAAAACAAACCAGTAGACTGTTACAGTTCACATTATTTAACTATGTCTTCTCAAGTGTATCTCTCCAAGGGAATCAACTTTAGAAAAAAAATCTGGACTAGTTCATTCACAGTGGTGGGATCATCCCTGGTTAGTCCCCTTCTTCCTAGTTCATTGGCTTTTGACCTCTACAGCCAGAGTGGCCGGTTCAACACCCTTTTCAGTCTTCCCAGTCTTTCCCTGGGTCACTAGTTTAAATCCATACTAAGATTTGCAGAGAACCTTTGGCCAGGCAAAGAAAGATCCACATGTGGAGCAGGCATGCTCCTCCTCTGACATTTCCTATGTAAATCTCTCCACCACTAGCATTGATTAAGAGCGTTAACATTAACAAATCAATTAGGAATCTTCCCCTTATAGTTTCTAACTTTACTGACCTCCCTGGGTAACAAACAATACACATTTCCTTATTTTTTGTCTGCCACACCTGCCACCAACATGCCGAAGGCAAGTCTTCAAACACCCCAGGATATGAATTAATTTTACAAGTGACATTTAAGTCCCCACTGAGTTACACCTGCTAAGCTCCCAACCAATTTCAAGCTGTGCACTATACCAAAGTCTTATACTTGACTTTAAAAGAAAACAAAGTTTAAAAAAACTTCAGCACAGAACAAAGTTTTCTTCTTTTGTGGAAGGGGCATGAAGCAGGAGACCTGTTTTAAATTATACAACAGCAGACTTTTGATAAAAAGATTGTGGTGGGAGAGAGACTGTGTGTTCTAGTGCCCTGCTTTCCCCTCCCCACGACCCCTCCCATCCCCTGGATCTCCCTCAAAGTGAGAATACAATGAAATTGATTTGTATTTATAGATATTTTACAAGGTTAAATAAGAACAACAATAATAAAAAAAAATTGAACACTAAAATGAACAGGTTTTTTTCCTCTTTTTAATTTTCTTTCCAAACGTGACCAGTGTTGCTGAGTGACACTCAAGTAACTGGTGGTTTTTCCTGTGCTGCTGGCTGCTCGGGACTGTTCAGGTGGAGTTGGAAGCTGATGCAGAAGCGGCGTTATTGGTCTGTACACGGTCTCCAGCATTAGCATCTGCAAATCAAAAGTCCCGAGAGAGCATGAGCAATGCTGTAAGACCCCAAAGAGAAAAGCACACTGCCTCAGACTATAAGCTGTGGGGTCTTCTTCCAAGCAGTATCTGAAATGGTGTTTTAAATATGGCCAATACTATGAAATCTGAATTTCTTTCTGCCTGGAGCTATGTCCATGCGTTGGCATGGTCCTGGTACAGAACGATATTGCCTTTGAGTAAGTTACAGACTTAGGTAGCTAGGGACCATTTCTGTCAAAGCTCTTGTTCCAGGTGGGATTAGCAGTGTATATGAATATACAGTTGGAGTCTAGCTCACTTCAAAATACACAGCTCGGAAAACTCACTAAAAGTTCTGCACCATGCCATCCGTCTAAGTGGGTAAACTGGGTGGAGGCAATGAATATAATATGGTCACAGGCAGAAGTGCTATGTGTAAATCAAACCCAACTGTTTGCTTTCTAAGTACAGGCCATCTTCGTTATTCAGAGAATGGAAGACACACTATCAGCAAAAAAAGGAACAGCCACTGTAGCACCAATTCACTTACTCTATTCAATAAGGCATCTTATGGTCAAAACATGGTCAGTGTCTTGGCACTGAGCTTACTTTGCCTACTGCTTTGGAAATATGTAAAACTTTATAACTTTAACCCCTCTTCCCTCTTTTAAAGGCCCAATATTATTTCGCAACATCCATGAATATTTAAGTCAGCATTTGTGTCCAGATTGGCTCTCCATCTCTGGTAGGCAAGAGACTGCCATTTCACTGACTTATTAAGCTGCATTCCTGTCATCTCACAGATGACTGGGAACATCCTGTGTGGCAAATTTTCTTTCCAATGCTTCATGCAAAGCCCTGAGCAGCAAGAGAGGTGGCTTGGCTGGGAGGGACATCCAAGAGCCATCTCCCTAGAAGTCACACTACCCTTGGCCATCAAGGCTGGTGACACCAAAAAAGAGAGATTCAAAATTTTTCTCTCTCTAGAGACTGTAGTTCTCTTATATCCTATAATGAACAGCGTAAACAATGTCATGGCTGAATGCCACATTTGGTCCTTTTTAGCTGTTGAGTTTATAATTTCAGTGTTTTCCCACCCTCAAAACAATCTTTCCTCATGTACATTTAAATCAGACTTTGGGGAAGAAATGTTTACTCTCTTAATTTGAATGGTTATGCTTAATTTGCTTAATTTTCTTCACAGCAGCTATAGCTGCTTCTCATTCTGTTTTCAGTGCAAATGAGTGCAGACATTATAGCATCTGGGTCCATGCATTAGCTTCCTCCCCATGGCATGGATTCATATTATCTCATTGGTACAACACACAAACAGGTGACATGAGAGAGTATATGACATAGAACCTATTCTCCAAAGGCAGCTAAACAGCCTTTTTTCTAAAAGTAAGTATCTATATCTAATGAATGCTTCATTCATGACCCCTGGTCTTTTTTTGGATATGCTTTGTTTAGGAGTTTTACTCTCCATGATCACATAAATTCTGTGCATCAGTAATAACTGAACATCAATTCCTTCCCAGGCCAGAGGTTCCTGTAAGACTTGCTCAAGAAAAACATTCATTTTCATAATTTAGGCATAGGTTGCATTAAACAACAGTCCAGAGAAAGCCTAAAAGGCCAGTTATTTCAGGATTGATAACAGTCCTCACAAATCCAAGCTTACGGTAGCTTTTCTCTTCCATTTTCAGTTTGTGAACGTGACAGATAAAACTGTCATGTTCTGATTTTCCCCAGGAGTTAAGAGACTGATTAATCATCAGGAATCTATCCTGCTTGCTCATGATATCAGCACATATAGCAGCACTGTTAGCAGCTCTGGCCATGGTAGCCATCAATCAGCTCTATCAGCCAACACCCACTAAGACTTAGCTACTCTGTCATCTAGCTCAGTATGTTAATTTGCTCTTTCCCAAAATCCCATTTAGCTACTAAATGGCAAATGCCCTTTCACTGGCTACTACCTGTGAGCTTATGACATTCCCCAAACTAGTCCCACCCTCCTTGGATAGATTCAAAGACTACTTGTATGAATAGAATAATAAGCACAAGCCTTTTAAGTGGGCATTTACCAAAAATGAATTCACTGTCTGAACAATAATACTTGAAAACACACTCACACTCCTCAGAAATGTAATTTAATGATCTCAATTTTTTTCTCTGAATCATTTCCGAATCAGTTGATGAGTAAAATTTTAACACCTAAATTATTTTGGTTACAAATATCCTTGATACCCAAAGTCACAGCACTGTATTCATTCATCAAAAAACAAAAAACAAACAAAAAACCTTTGCCTAATGCAATGACCTCCACTTCAAATAAAATATACATGTCTTTGCTGAAAAGAACAGACTCTTCTTTTTTTCCAGAGTATAAGGAGGAGAAAAGCAAAACAAAACAAAGATGTGAAACTCTACAAACTGCAAATGTGAGAAGTTCCAACAGATCACTTGGCTTACTGACTGAACAAAACTACATTTCGTAAGTAATTCTTGGTACAAGCTGCTTTTGTTCCCACTGTCAATTCTGTAAACTTATTTTACATAATTGAATTAATATGGACCTCCTCTAATAATTATGCTCATTAATTTAAAATTCTGATAAACTGTCACTTGATTTGGATATTTATGGAAATTTCTGTAACTTTTCTTCTCAAGCAATTAAACAGTAACTCTTTAAAAGCAACAAAGCTTGTTCTGCTTCTCCTGGATGCCCTTCCCTGGTAAAAGTGGTATCACCTGGCATTACAGTTTACAGAATGGGCTCTTGATTACAAAACATCCAATCCAACTATGAATCACCAGAGACTGAGTGTATAGCTTCTTGTTTTAGTCTTGAGAGATGCTCATCTGATATTCAGTGACAATCTTTCTTAAACCTAATCCAATTCCACAAACATTTATTGAGTATGGGATCTAGCTATACGACTTAATAGCTGCCTGCTTTTGGAACAAGTTACTTAACCTCTGTACCTCTCAATTTCTTCATCTGTAAAATGGTGATAATACTATCTATTTATTAAGTAAGGCCTGTGAAGTGCTTATTAGCATAATATCTGGCTTATAGTAATTGTTTACTAAATGGAAAGGTAAAAGACATCAAAAAATAGTTGAGTGTGACTTCAATAACCACCATCACCACCATAATAAATACGAGTGGCAGCAGTTATTACCTGAGTGCTTATTACCAATGTGACAGACATATCAGAGACACACCAGAGGCATGTCATTAAGCCCACACAATGACCCCAAGAAAAAGGTATTTACTGTCTCCATTTTGCAAATGGCAAAATGGAAGCAAAAATAAATTAAACAATATGCCTAACATTGCAGGTTAACAAGTGGGAGAGCTGAGCACAAAGGGAGCAGAGGAAGAGAATGGTGACTTTTAGGGGTAGTTGGAAGCAGCAGCAAAGATTTCCTACCAAAGGGAGAAAATAACTTAATTTCATTCAAACCTAACCCCTACATAATCCACTGTGAATTCTAGAGGCCTATTTTCGTTATCTAAAAGGGTTACTACATTAAGCAGATCAGTGAATTTTTGTTAAGAATTAAAGGTATACTTATTTCATTTTCTAATTTTCAGAGTCTGTATGGGGTATATAGAGATGCAGGTGTTTTGGAAAGAACTATAGAGCTGATAATTCTATAGACTTCCTAGCTTCCCAGAAACCAATGATAATCACCATCCTTCTGATGCTGCTACAGTACGTACAAACAAACCGAGGATGGCCCTGAGGGGGAGTGGAGAAAAGAATAATTAGCTTTAAGGGAGGAAAGCACAACATCATCCTTACACACAGTGATAGCCACCTTCCAAGATGGCCCCAATGAGTCATGACTCTTGGTTTCTATGCCCTACTGTAGTCCCCTCATCTAGTGAATAACATTGGCCTGTCAATAGATTACAGAAAAAATGATATATAACTTCCAAGGTTAGGACATAAAATACACTGTGGCTTCCACCTTGTCCTCCTCCTTGGATTGCTTGGTCTAGGAGAAACCAGCAGCCATAATGTGAGACACTCAAGTAGCACTGTGGAGAGGTGCACGTGGTGAAGGACTGACGCCTCCTGCCAACAGCTAGCACAGATTCACCAACCACATAAACAAGTCATCCTGCAAGTACCTCTTCCAGCCCCAGGCAAGCCTTCAGATGTTTCTGCAGCCCTGGCTGACTTTTAACTACAACCCCAGAAGAGATCCGGACCAAGAACCACCCAGCTAGGCTGCTTCTGAATTTCTGACTCACAGAAACTGTGTTTATTCTTGTTTTAAACTGCTAAATCCTAGCATCTTTTGATATGTAGCAATCGATAACCAACTCTTACATATATGTCAAAGAACATGAATGTCAGGGTGTATGCTCAAAAGCCCATGACAGCACCACTGACCAAGTCCCTCTTGCGGTGGCATAAGACACCAAGGTGGCTTTAGTCCCTTCAATACTAGGACTGAAATTCAGACACCAGTGAGCCAACCAACCCATCAGCAAATCTGGAGGGCTTTTCAACAAGACTGTTCATCCTTGATCTGCCTGTAGCTGAGAGGTCTTAGTTGCTCTGGATAGGAAACTGGAGGCCATGAGGGCACAGGAAACATTTTTATTTTTTAAGTTAAAAAAACACCAATTTAGAAATAAAGAATAAGAAAAGGCATATGAATATAAGCTTGTGACTTTAAGCAAGAAACCAGGGAACACTTGAAGAGTGCCCAAAAGGTCTGATAGGACACTCATCAACTTAAAAAGATTTTACATTATTTTTGGAGATGAGGGAAAAAACCCCAGGGTAGTATTTTTGTCTTAATAGGAGAAAACACATTTTGCATAAAAATAAACAATTTCCTAGAAGTGATATTAGCACTGCGCTGGTGAAATAATGTCTAAGTTGGCTTGATTTTAGGTGTCTATATAGGGTGGGGCAAAAGTAGGTTTACAGTTGTTCATATGGAAAAGAATAATTAATAAATAGTAGTATAAGAA